CCTTAAGGGGTTAAAAATACCATGTGGATACCATGTATCCACACTTTGCTCGCCTAATTAATTTCCAATAGAATCCTCCTTTTAAAAGACATAAGGATATTGACGTTTATTTTAACATTACCTTCTTTTTTTCTGTAGAGTTTTACTTAACAAATTTATTTTTCAGCTTGCAATTGTTCTTTGAATTCTGATGTTCTTATTTTTTATATTGGGTTTTCTGATTTGTCTCAAAATTGCAAACACATTTACCTTTCTGCTCCTGACTTGTATCGGAAAATATTCTTTATCTCTATTTAATTCATTTCTGTATTTTAGTTTCGATTAAACATTCCTCTATTTGTTTAATTTCACTATTGTTCATATCACCATTTTTTTTATTTATTATCTATGGGTCATGACACATGCTGATTTCGCATTCTAACTGTTCAGTCTCAAATAATTGAGTGCGTGGCATTCACCATCACTTTGAATATAACCACAGGAAAAAACATATAAAATTGGGAGTGGCAACACTTAATACAATATACAACATCTAAAATATGCCTCTCACACCTTTATACCACCAAGGTGAGATACATGGTAGAACTTATAAAATGCAACAAACCCTATAGTACTGTAGTACACTTTCCCAAAGTGCTCAAACACACCTGTGTGGGATCCCCTTTTCCGCATGTTAACAATGCTATCATATAGCAAATAATAGGTGGAGCACACAATACTTTTTTTTTTTAGGTTACAAAGTCTACAAGAAACAAAAAGTGGAGAGGCAATAGTATAGATGGTACAACTAGTTTTGAGATGTAAAATCTGCGTATTTATAACACTCACAAAAGGCAGCTTAGGCACTGGGCTCTAGTAGCAGGATTAGTAATAGATATTCTGATCCCTGTTCAAATGTATATCACAGGTGTAGATTCTGAAGGAATAGAAAAGGCACCATAGTATAATACTCTATATGTATAAGGTATATAAATGCAAAAACTGGAAACACTCACATGATGATAAGCCTGGTGAAGCTGCCTCAACTCTATACAAACTGTTGTAGTGTAAGGAGTGTACTCCAAAGTAGATTTATTTATTAATTTATAAAATATTTTACCAGGAAAGATACATTGAGATTTATCTCGTTTTCAAGTATGTCCTGGTTCACCAAGTTACCAAATTGATAAAAAATAAATAAAATTTTAGAAAAAAGAATGATATACTTGCTAAGTGAAATGTCTAAAGTGTCTAAAACGTGTTTCACTGTTGTGGCTTCCTCAGTTGGAATAGTTATGGATATTATCCTTTCCTCTTTTTAAACATGTAATGTGTGCTCTTATCAATGCTGGTCTGTAAGAATGTGCATGGGCAAAAAATTGGGTTTGGTTCGGTTTGGAAATTCATGTAAGTAAAAAAATGTGTTTGCTTCGGCAATTCGGACCAATGGCAATAATAAATGCAAATATTGTAATATTTTATTTGTATTTTTTTTATATATATATATATATATATATATATATATATATATACACACACATATGGTATATTAGTATACGTGTTGGTTAAATTATAGTTTAATAGTCAAATGACATAAAATAGAAACTTCTTATCATGTAGCTAGCAATTACATTCTAATAATGAAATGACATTTTAAATGTGATGCTTAAAATTTTAGTGTCGAGGCTAACCTGATAGTGGCTGCAAACCATCATATTTTTAATAAGACATTATTATTGTTAACTTTTTGTCAATTTCTTATGTACTTAATGACTAATGCTGTTTTTTACAAGTACTATGATTCAGGGCCAGATTAACATAGGAGCTGATGGAGCTGCATCCACACACTACTCTTAGGTTTGCCACCTGACTGGTATTTTAAGGGAAAGCCAGTATTTGAGACTGCCTGGCCCTGACGGTATTGCAGTTATACCAGCAATACAAATGCAGATATTTTTCTCAGTATAAACAGAGATTACTCTGCAATACCAGCACCGGCCAGTAGGGGCACTGTGTATGGAGAGAGGCAGGGATAGGAAGTTACAGCATCTACCTGCCTCTCTCAACTCACTGATCCGTGGGGGAGCAGCTACACAGCACAGAGACCACAAACAGCAGCTTCCAGCCTACAGAGACAGGC